CCCCAAAACCCCAAAACCCCAAAACCCCTTTTGGAGGAAGATATATTGTTAAATAAAATTAGATGGAGTCCAGCTCTTTTTCTTCAGGCACACCTATGTATGTATTATGGGATTTGGTCAGAAGTTTATGGGATATAGGTCTCTTAAAGTAGCCAAACCAAGCAAGAATCGATCAAGGAGAGTCAGTGCAAAAGGAATAAGAAAGATGCAACGTTTTACGGGCAAACGAGCCACTTTGAGCATGGCTAGCTTTGCCAAATCGAATGTTTTTGGATCAAGTACTTCTGGAGATAGATCTAAGGTAGGAAATTCAGTGTAAATTTTACAAATTCTTGAGTTAATTATTACTATAGAGTGGGTCTTTTCAAGCTAAGGATATGCACAAAACTCAGGTTTACAAGAGGGAGGTTAAGAAAATTACCAAGTGTATGAAGCTAGTCTGATTTATAGCAATTTATAAAAGTACTTTTCATCGTAACTCAAATCCTACACTTCCACAGTTGGGTAGCATGTTGCAAAAGAATCGACATGTGAAGAAATCGTTTATCAGAGCCCTCGCTGGGAAGTTTCTTATTGATAAATTTGTGATCAACGAATACTCGAAAGAACGATACTTCCTTGAAATATTAAAAAAGAAACCAAGGAATAGAACTAAGAGAGAAATCTCCAGGCTCACTCAGTTTCTAGGTGGTATCGAGTTCTTCAAGAAATACATCAAGGAAGGCAATGAAGGAGTCGTAGGTCAGTGCAGTTCTCAGCTGAAACTAGGTATACCACCTCTAAACTTTGTAGCAACCTTTAAGAAAGGAGAAAGAATCATGAAATATGGAGAACTTGGTGATAAGTTTTACGTTATACTTCAAGGTTCATGCAAACTGTTTCTCAAGTATAAGGAAACCTTCATGTTTACAAATGCTGATTATGTCCTCTACCTTATGTCTCATGAAACATTGGGGGAGGATTACCACAAAGTTCTCAGTAATTTTAGAATCAAGAAGGAATATGGTACTTTTTAGGATTATTATATAGTCAGAGAATTAGAGCAGGTATGAATCTTTGTAAATCCTAGTTTTATGCCCAGCATAAGGATAATTCCTTACAAGTGTTGAACAAAATCATCTCTATGCTTCATGGAAGAGTCGACAGTAAGCATGGATATCATCTGTAGTCTACACAAAACGAAAATTCATTATTTCATTTCTGAAGCATCAAGCTACATTGAAGGACGGACAAGAGTTTGGAGAACTCGGTATCGCCTATTCCTTACTAGAATATAGCACTTATCAATTCAAAACCTCGGTCTGCCACAATCATTGCTGAGAAGGATACCATATGTGCTGTACTTGAGAAGGATCAGTTCAAGAGGATACTTGAGAAGCATGAAGTCCAAAAGCAAGAAGTTCTACTTAAGGCAATCGAAAGCTTCTCATTGTTCAAGTAACTTTCTACTTAAATTATAGCAACCTTTCTCGTGTTGCAAAATCAAAGATCCTGAAGATAATCCACAGGTGAGAAGTATCCAAAGGAGTTTATCTATACAAAGAAGGAGAGACAAAGGTATGGCTAAGCTCAAGCTCTAGGATACCTTTTTCGAAACAAAATCGGTCAATTCAGAGCGAAACTTTAGAAATTTTTACTTTGTGCTCAACGGTAAGCAACCCATGTAAAATGTTAGGCGAGCTAGAGGTTACAAAATAAGGTTAATTTTAAGGACAAGGCCAAGATCAAGAATGGGTCTTTGTGGAGGAATCCTCCTAAGACTACCAAGCCTAACAAGGTTAATGATGGGAGTAAGCAACTGATGCTAGATTTTAGATTCAAATCCAAACAATTTTATCAAAATTGTGAAATACTCAAAGCTGAAACTTGATCCTCTTGAAGTGGTTGGGAACCCCAATTTTTGGAAGAGACACAGAGTTCTTCTACGGGGTATAAAAGAAGACGATATTAAAATGGACGCAGATGACGTCCTAGATTACGAAAGTACTAGTTGTATTTAACTGTTTAGAAGAGGACATGAAGAAGAAAGACACCTTAAAGATATAAAGCAGCTTAAGATATCTAAAATCTTCAAGAGACAGATTGTTGGCTTGGAAGACATCATTCATCGGTTCAAAGAAAGGTTTACTTCTGTTCAAGTAATCAGCGATGAAGCTGAACTGCTTGTGATTAATTATGACAGTCTTATAAAGAACCTTCCTAGTGATGAAGAGACCCCAAATGAAGGGCCCAAGAAAAATATGACAACAGTTGAAATTCTACAGAATTATTCGATGAAAAAGATAAATTTTTTGAGTTATAGAGTTGAGAAAATCATTTCTGGAGAATCTGAGCTTGATATTAAAAGATCTGTGATTGGGATAAAGGAAGAAGAGAAAGAGGTTTTAGAAGAAAAGAATAACGACACTTTGAAATAGATTTCAATACCAAGAAGAAAAAGAGTTTGTGAATCAACTACAAGGTCTAAAGATTAAAGGAATATGGACTCAAGGTATAGTTAGACTCTCATTATAGCACAAAATAAAAGAGCATTTGTGAAGAGATCACCTAAAGCAAAAGAGAAGTAAGTTCTACTTAAAAGTTCTCTGTCTAGAACTTAAAAATTTCAGCTCTCTTGTGCCAATCTTGTCTACCTTGAATTTTCCTTTTTTAGACTAATTAGGATGATTAACCAGGGTTGGCTAAAACTGCTGATGCTCCTTTAGAAGGAATATTCAGCTAATTCTGATCTATAGAATGCCGTTAAAGACCTCTTTTTATACTCAGTTAATAAAAGAGGACAGACAAAAGAGGTTAAAGAAGAGAGCATCTTCAGTGCCAGAAATCAGGCCTGAAGCTCATGAGAGATCTCCCAAAGATAGATCTCTATTAAGTGACAAAGTTAGTTTCACTAATCAAAGATTTTTGACTATGAAATCAAGGATATCTAGGAAACGGAACACTAGGAACGGGAATCGTAGTGTCATGAATATGCATATAAGAACCTTGAAGAATATTAACACACCTTTCTTACAAAGTTCATTGAAAGGGTCTGTGTATGATCTTGAGAAATTGCATTCTCTGTGAAATTCGACTACAGTGAACACTGTTGCTCAGTCTGAGGTTCCTTATGTGATTCATTCATTGAAGAAACCAGGTAAAGCGCCTAGTGCAATCGGCAGGTTTTATAACAGAATCGTCAAGAAGCCACCTATGAGAAGGTTGAGCATTCAAGAATCATCTTAATATTTCAATACTTTTAGATAATTTTGGGGTTTTGGGGTTTTGGGGTTTTGGGG